CGAGAAAAACTTGAATAAAAATAATTTAACATAGAAACTGCTTTTGGAATAGAGAAAAGTCCCTCCCTTCCACGACCGACCTAATGCAAACCTATAAGAGGAAGGATAATCGGGTGAGCGGTATCAGTCCTTAGTTGTTCCCGCAACCCGATTGTTTAAACGTTTTATCTGTTTTTCAATTCGTGAGTATTACATATAATTAGTTAACAATGAAAACTCTGACAAGCATGTGTCTGTTCAAAATCGTGTCTCCTGTGAAAGTACTAGTGTACATCTTCCCTTTCCTCTTAATTGGATTATACTTTGGAAATTCTAAACTCTTCCTTAATTTAATATCTTGTCAAATATAATTATTGCATTATAAATATCTGCGTACTGCCTGCGAAAAAAGATATATTCCTACGCGCGATCGCATGTAACCCTGGAATGCACCAATTTCAAAGCAAACGCACTCCGTTCTCTCTCGAGAAATGGTTTTATTCCTATTTGAATAATTCTTTATGTATATCATCGCTCTAATCGCATTCTAGATTCTAGATAAAGCTCTGTTTTATTCTCAATGCCTCGAGTTCTGATCCGATTAAACTGGAATTTGTACCCTTGATACTCCTTGCGATACAATAGGTAAAACAGTTAGCGACACTTTCACTTCGCAATTTTCGAACCTGTTTTAAACATTAAAAAATCCATCTCGTGAAAGTAAAACGACTGCGAAACTGAATTTTGTTACAGGCAAAGGTTCCAAGCTTAATATCTCAAGGATGAGGGGGCTCTTCCTATTATTGTGCGTTTGTCTAGTGCAAAGCGGACTGACAAAGAAGCAGTCTCGCGAGAGTTACGATTACGAGCTATCGCTCGGTGAACCCGGAACCGGTTCCATTCTACTTCCACCTCAACAGAAAGTTCTCCAGCCGGGATACAGCGTGGGCGGCCCCTTGGCGAATATCGCGAAGGGCGCGGCGGAGCAAGCTCACACCCAGTTGAGCAACCAGGAGTCCGCGGCTGGACAGGCGGCGTACGTAGCTAAAAATACTTTGGCTCAGGCTGCCTCGCAATCGGCAGCTACCGCAGCCGCGGCGTTGACCGGAAAGCAGATCGTCGTCCAAGGATTGGAGCAACAGTCTAGAGACGCGCACGTAGCGGTGGACAATGAGGCTCTGCAGCTGCAGCAAGCGGAAAGATCCGCGAATGCGGCCAAGAACGCGGCTAAGCAAGCCATGCACCAGGTGCAGGTGATCACGGCGGCTTTGAACGCTGCGCAAGTTACCGCTGATCGTGCGCAACAAGCTGCGGCCGAAGCTGAAGCCGAATTAGCCGCGCAGACCACGATGGTTGGGCAAGCGAAGGCGAGGGCGGAAACCGTGGACGAGCAGCTGATCTCTGCTCGCATCGATTACGACACCACACAGACGGCCGCAGACAAAGCCGCGATCGCGGCAACCGCGGCACAAAACAATGCTGCGGCCGCGGGTGCCAAAGTGGCTGATACGGCCGGCACTTCCGCGCTCTTGACTCACGAGCCGGCCACCGTGACACCTTTACCGAAACTACCGGAGCAACCTGTTCTCAAGGAGTCCCCGGGCTACGCTCTGCTCTCCGAGGGACCGGCTTACGGAGCCGGTGGCCCGATTTTAGCTGGTCCTGCCGGTCATCAGGAAGCTGCATTAAAATCAGAAGGACTGCGTTATCCTATAGCACCGGAAGAGATAGCCGCGCAGCGGGCGCAAGCGAGTCTTGAAGAAGCAGACGGTCTTCGTTTGTCTGGACTTCTCCAGAAAGCTGGTGATCCTCGTCTTCCTATAACGATCCAAGAAACCGAGCTACGCCTTCCCGCTGGATACTCAGCAGCTGGGCTGAAGTCCGGTACCTTGCGTCTCCCTGCTGCTGCGCTTCGTGCACCGGGATTATCTCTCGAAGTCGGTGCCCCACTTCAATCGCCTTTGTTTACCTTAGCAAATTCTCTGCCTATCGATGGTTACGAGACTAAGGAGTATTAGAGGGTGTCGGAGATACTTTCATCAGAGGGACTTTGTTACCCTCTCTTTCGTTTCGAACGAACCGCATTACATTGGAATCTAATTCGAAATAAACCATGATTTTGTTAAATTTTTATATAAAATACAATTGCAAATACATTTTTCTGTTCTATGCAAATTTAACAAAAATCAATCGCATTTTGACTTGTAACATTTTATTTCTTCCCTATAATTAAATAACCCGTTTCAAAAATTCTTTCTTTATTTATTCCTATTTTATATACATACACACATGTACATAATAATGCGCTAAATAAATGATAATTTAAATAAATTAAAATTGTCTCTTACCGTTATTCAAGAATTTGAATTGCGATCCACTTACGCACTCATGAAGTATACGGAGTTCTAGAAGGATGAATCGAATGCACGAGCCTTGGCACGCTCTCTATCCGGCGCAGCTTCGAATTAAAGCATAAATCGAGTTTCCTATCATAGATTAAAATAGAACGGGGACAATAAGTCAGAGTTCAGGTTCAGAGTCAGAGTCGTTCAAAGTTAGACAGAGTTAGACAGAGTCAGAAGAATTTCGTCACGGTATGAAATCGCGTTGATTAATAAACCTCTTTCCCATCCCGCATTCTGGTCTCCTGTGTTTGTTTAATAGAACAAGTATACCTCATTCCGCGCTAACACCTCGCCCGGGCAAATGGTAATTGGGAACCACCGATAACTTTAAAAAGAAATGACTTCACGAGCGGAGACATGTCATCGCCGAGTTGCAAAGTGCAAACATACATACGTATATCTCCTCGCTTGTGTCGTATTAATATGAATTAGCTATTGGCCAGAATCCTATCACAACTCTGATCCATTAATAACTCGCAACGAATAACTGTACTTCGCGGACAGATCCTGTGCGAATAATTGAGTCCCATGCTTTCCATTATGTTTGACAGAGAACGATGTGTCACGCTCAACGTGCATGCAAATAGTTGTCAAGCTCGAAGTGCATCGTGACGATCATCGCAAAAACAGGCTCGTTAAAGATGAGTTCCGTCTGGAAACGGTTGCAGCGGGTAAATAAAAGGGCTGCCAAGTTTCAATTCACCGTATCATATCACGAACTCACGTTAGAAACCACGACAAAATGGTGAGCTATTTCGTATTTTTATCTTTTAATAATATTTAGAATAGCTGTACGCGATTTTATTCTCGTTCTAACAACATTTGTTTTATCGTAAACGAAGATTGTGCATGATTTATCATAAATTATTTGACATTATGTAAGCAGACGTATAAATCTTGTTTTGCAGGAAGCCAAACAAACTGAGTGTTGTATGGACGAGACGTAGCAGAAGAGTTAGCTCAGAGCCCATGGACTGGGAGCCGAGCTTGAGTGACCCTATGAAAGGTGTCATCAGCTGGCCAGTTCCTGATAATCACACGGTTTCTGTGACTCTGTTCAAAGATCCAAGGACTCATGAATTAGAGGATAAAGATTGGACATTCGTAATCGAAGATGTAAGAAACAATGATTTTATGACAATAGTATCATTGCGTATTACACTTTTTGTGTTTCAGGTTTCTGTTACTGGTAAAAGACGGCATGTAGCTGCCACTAACATAAACATGAAGAAGTACGCAACCCTGGAATCTAGTCAACAGCAACTAAAATTAGACTTGAAGCCGACATCGAAGAAGATCATCAGTGCCACATTGGAATGTACTCTATCCTGTGTCTTCCTAAGGGAGGGCAAGGCGACGTAAGAGAATATTCTTTCCCTATCATTTCACTTGCAATTAATTGATCTCAATACTTATTAGAGTTTTTAATCAGGGATGAAGACATGCAGAGTATGGCCAGCTTAATGTCCGTCAACAACAACAGCGATATCGCGCCGCTGGACGATTTCGATAACGAAGATATCCCAGAGGATGTTGAGGAAGTATCGGGAAAGAATATTGACGAGATCTTGGATATCTCTACTCAACTTGATTTAATGACGAGCAGTCTTACCGAAAGCGAATTACCCAGTACTCCGATAAGCGGTACGAGTTATTAGACTTGTACGAAATAATATTCAGTGTTTTATGATTGTAATCACATTTCACAGTGGCGAGTTTATCAAAAGACGATGCCACACCCGTGAACGACAGCGATCACATGCACGGCGTTTGTATAACAGGTATCAACGATTCCTTCAAAGAGAAATCATCCTTAAAGGATAACATCGTTGTTGAGAACAAGTGAGTTGAGATCGATCATACGTCCGAACTTGGTTTGAACGTTTTATTTTTCAGTAAAAACATAGAACACAGTACGATGCTGAGACTACCGTTGCAACCATTGGAGCTGAAGAAGAACGATGCCAATATTCCCAAGTTAAAGGAGATCACGCCAGGTCAAGATCTGCTGGAGTGGTGCAAGGAAGTAACGAAGGATTACCCTGGCGTGAAAGTTACCAATCTCACGACGTCTTGGCGAAATGGAATGGCGTTCTGTTCTATCATACATCATTTCCGGCCGGATCTGATGTAAGTGAAAATTTCATTTTGATGATTGTAATTATACTGAACGAAGTGAATGTTCACAGAGACATAGATGCACTGTTACCGCACGACGTGAAGGGTAACTGTAAAAAAGCGTTCGACGCCGGAGAAGCTCTCGGCATACCGAGAGTCATAGAACCGGCGGACATGGATATACTGACAGTACCTGATAAGTTAGCTGTGATGACTTACTTGTATCAACTGAGGGCGCATTTCACTGGCCACGAGTTAGAGGTAACAAATATATCTAAAGCATTATCGATTTCATGTTAATCGAGCTTGTATCTTCAGGTGCATCAAATAGGCAAAACAGCGGATGAGTCATCGTACATGATCGGTAGATTTAATACGGACAATAATTCGGACGTGAGTGTCCAACTGTTCGGTCAAGAGATAATTAATTTGCGTAAGAAAGATCAAACGGAGCTTAAGAACAATAAAACCGACAATAGGCGGTACGTTTGTCATATATCCTTGATAAAAAACAGTAACGAAGGTACAAGTTTATTTTCTTCTATTCCAGATCGAATCCCTTCGACAATAAAAAGGAGGACGTTAACATCGAGTCCCTAAAGAACAAATTACATTTGAGTTTGAATACAGAGAATCAGGATTACGATCAATGCAATAAGGATAAATCACCGTCGAGTGTAAAAGACGTGAAAGATATTATATTAGCTGGTTCGAAGAGTATTTTAGAGAAAGTGTTGTCGCCGACGAAAGAGAAATACGCGTTTAGAGAGAAGGTACGCAATTAAGTTCGTTAATATCGTTTAATTGAAATCTATCGTCGCGATCTAGTGGGATGAACAAGCTATAAAACAGTTCAGAAACTGAATTATTGTTGTCATTGTAACGATTGAAATTTACCACAGAGTAAATCTCCACCGAGAGTATCGCAAGCAAATCAGCGTCCCATATTAATGACTCGTCGACAATTAACAGATCCCTTCGGATCTGACGAGGAAGAGGAAAATATTCAAGTGATCGATGAGAAATGGTCTCAATCGATTGCGATTAACAATTCAGAAACTTCGATTAATAACGTCAGTATATTTGCATTGCCCAAACTTTTCACTTCTTGATTTGTTTATTGTGTGGCCAAAACGAGAGAGGGATAGTAGAGAAGAAATTTTTTTAAAACTAGAACTAACTCGTTTCAAAGGATGCATGATATTTTTGCTTTTTTCCTATTTTGCCAAAATGATGGAATGCGGTAGCTGCCTGTTGCTTTATTCTCCTAAGTTAGGGCACGTCGTACCAAGTGAATGATGTCATTATTTGTATCAGTCTAAAGTACCATGGTGCAACGTTTTTGCAGGATTCGGGTAGCGAAAGGGGTATTCGTACTGAGTGCCGTAACGTATTGTCGCCGCAGGAAGAAAAACGATCTCAACACGTAATTACCTTCTTCAGATTCTTCATAATTTTCGCCTGATTATGTTACGCAACTAATTTATCACTTTTTCTTTTGTTTCCCCTGTAAATGTATTAGCCGTTAGTCAGTCGGCATGACGAATTAAGAAAACGCGCCAGACAGCTATTAGAACAAGCTCGGAATCAGAGAAAATCAACGGGACTTGTTTCCATCGCTGCTTATTCTCTCGAGGTTTTTTTTCTTTCTGCATTTATTTATTATTTTCGTTCATTGTTTATGCATATTATTACGTTTGCTCATTTTATCATCGCGCTTTTTAACGCACTCCTAATCGAGAAACTCTTCATACGTAATTTGTAATATAGGCCCAGAACGACGATGAAAGACAGCAACAATTGCGTGAAAGAGCGAGACGTTTGATAGCAGAAGTGAAGATGGGCGTTACGTCGAATCAGAGTAACGACGACAATAGCAGTGATAGACGATCGTTAGACGATCAGAATAACAGTCCGAGGCGAAGCATGACGCCTTCCACTCCGGGTGATAGATTTAGTACAAAGGTGAAGAATTTAGATTGTTTTAGAAAAAGATGATATCTGTGAGAATTCCATGAAATATTTCAGTCGGAGTACAACGGGAATACATTAGGAACTCCGAACGTAGCAGACACGGAGAAGAAAACTGGTTCTCCTCTGTTCTCATTCTCTAAGATAATCGAAAGAATCTCACCAGATAAAGCTAGTCCTGATGGAACTTCGTACACGCTCAGAGGAGTACGTTTCAATCCAAGTCTACAAACATTGTGCAAATTCGATTCGATTACCTTGTACCTTTTACAGCTAGGAAAAGATATGTCGTCGTACATTCAAAACGAATTGGAAGCATTGGAAAGAGAGCAAACCCAGATCGATATTCAAGCCGGCAAACTCGAGAAGCAATTGCGAGCCGCAATGGAAAGTGATAACGAAGACGAAACGGAAAGGCTGATGTCTCTTTGGTTTACGCTTGTTAATAAAAAGAACGCGTTACTTAGAAGACAGATGCAGTTGAACATATTGTAAGTGATCGCGCCTGTAGATTTTGAACTCGGTTTAAGCGACGTTGTTCGGTCCTTTCAGGGAGAAAGAAGACGACTTGGAACGACGGTTCGAGCTGTTGAACCAGGAACTGAGAAGCATATTGGCGGTGGAGGATTGGAGGAAGACTGCGGAGCAAAAGATGCGGGAGAATTTACTTTTAGAGGAACTGGTATCTATCGTGAACAAAAGAGATGAGCTGGTTCATCACCTTGATACGCAAGAAAGAGCGTAAGTATACGATGTTAATTTTTTAAACACCGGAACATATGATTTCTATTATATATTATGACACAGGATTGAGGATGACGACGAGATAGAGCGCAACTTATCTAGAACAGGTTTAGCTCAGCGAAATAAAAATTGCTCAGTGCAATGAAAGCATCCTACTTTGCTGTTGCCGATCGAACGAGACGAAAGGCAAGTGTCAAGTGTAAAAAAAATATATTTACTGTTTAATTACGAATTGTGAAATAATTACAGACAAAATTCGTTTTGCCAAAGAAAATATGTTGACGAAAGGTAAAAGGTAAAAGGATCGCTATGTCCTACGCGAGATACTGACACGTAGAAATTTATTTTTTACTATAAATCATGTAAGAATTGTACAATCAACGTTTCATATTTACGAGACATGGATTTATTGTTAAATGTGGATGGAATGCTGCTTCTTTCAGTAAAGTTCAAAATGAACATCGATCCCTCAAAGGGATGCGTATAAGAAAAACGAACAAAGCCTGTTACAGACTTGTAAAAAGAAGTATATTAAGTATATTGATTATAAATATATTAAAAAAAGAAAATCGACTGCAGTTACACGCTCGCTCATAATTGTAATATTGTAGTAAAGAAAAATTGTCCCGAGAACTTCTTCTCTTAAAGATGATGTGTATGAATCTGGCTGTAAATTGTGAGGAAACACGAAAACGCTATGTCCGCTATGATGTGTAATATTGCAATTCGGCAATATTAGAAATACTTTGTTCAGATTATTATAGATTACAATTACGTTGTGCCATATAATTAATTGTTTCGTAAGCTTCATCGTTCATTCATCTGTAAAAGATGACTCGAGGTGGGAATGCGAATAAATGATACTAATTTAATATTTAATAACACTCGTTAATGCAATAGGTGCGTATATATACATATGTATACGCAGGATATGTATATACATATATCGTGTTGAGTGTAACTGCCATAATCAATCGAAATTAGTGTACGTATAGCACGCGTATGAACTGCGCGAACGTCATCGCTTCACGTTCGGCAGAATTAGAATTGAAATATTTCTCGCAAAATCTTACTTTTCATGCGAAGCGTGATGCATCCACATCGGTACTTAGAAATATTTCTATAAGGATGCTTGAAACTATTACGGAGTTACTATGACACGAGATTACTTTAAAAGGGAAACCTATCCAACGGTGGAACTCGGTTATTAAAACGAAGTTCTAGCGCTATGCAAATTTTTTTTGATACTCGGATCGTCTTGAAGAGTGCAATATACACATGCGTGCGTGCATGCATGTATGTATCTTTTTTAAGGAATCGTGTTTTCGAGCTATCATGTACAGTTACTATAATAGATTTATATATGTAGATAGTATAATGTAATGTATCAAAAAATTGAAAAAGATCTCGCATATTTCACTGTACCCATATCAATATACATACATATGAGTAATGCAATAAATGAAGCTCGCGTATTTATAACAAGACTCATCCTTCAGACAATATCGTCAGTGCAATCGCTTCGCTTATACTTTCATTCAAGATAAGATATTTATCTTCTAAAGATATTCGTTACCGTTTAATTAATTAATTGCTGTCCTTCCAAAATTTTAAGTTTCACACTTTTCCGCCTGTACTGTATGACGTAAATCAATTTTCTCGATCAAAATACTTTACGCATGAGCCCTCTGTTATAGGTATGGGCGCTGTCGCACCGATAGATTCGAGTACACACACACACATACCTCGATAGAAAATATAAACATAGCGTAGATAACATTTCAATTTCGAAATGGCGGGAACAAATATAAAACATTATTCATTAGATTTTCTTTCTTACAACGCGAATAAATTATCCTATCGTATCGCGTTTTGTTCGGTTTACGTTCAAGTCATGATTATTAAATAAAAAACAAGTTAACATCAAGTTTGGAACAGCTCGACTCGGGAACGTGAGTGATCGCGAAAAAGGCTTCGCGAATCGAACTCTTTCGTCGAACTTTCCATACTCGGAGATCTCTATAAGGCGAAATCTTCTTAACTCTAAAGATTTTATTCTTCTCTTTGCTTTTCGACATTATTGAGGCTGAGGATTCGACTGTACTTGATACAGTGCTGTGCCACTCGTTTTGATTAAAGATGGAGGAAGCTGGTAACGATAAGTTTCTGTCAAGAAGGCGTTCTGCAGCTCTAAAGGCTTTCAAAGTCAAAGATGAACGAGTAGCAACTTTTAAGAAGGTACGTACGTAAATGCCTTTCGTTTAATCGTCCTGCTGGACAGTAACTTTTGTCTAGAACTCGCATCCATCTCCCGGCGTTACGTCCGATGCATCGTAGACAGCTATAAGGCTGTTACATTTTTATGTTTTTCAGGTAGCAGCGATTTTACAAAAATCTGAGATAGACAGAACGGCTGAAGAAACGGGAATACTAGTATCTTGTAGCGACGTAGTAAAAGAGGTTAATTTAAGGTATAGCCATTTTGGAAATCATTGATTCTCCCTACATTTATGAACATACCAAACCAATTTTTTGTTGATATCATAATACGAAATGTTGACATAACATAGAAGTATTTCTAGTAGTTTCAAAAGGAAATTTAGAATTTTGAAAATGTAGTTTCATCGCGAATCTATTCTTAATTAATCGATTTGATATAATGTTAATGCTATAGGCAAGAGAAAAGGCACAGGGTAAAGGCAAGATTGGAAGAAGTAGAAGATGCACCAGAGATTTTAGAAGAAAAATGTATCAGATTGGCTGCGGCAATCAGCAGAGCGACATCATTAGCTGTTTACACTGGAGCTGGCATTAGTACAGCTGCTTCTATTCCTGATTACAGAGGGACAAACGGTGTTTGGACTCGCTTACAACAAGGAAAAGATATTGGGTAATGTTAAAATAAGTATTCTAAACACAATATGTCATGATACATATTTTTGGCGTATAGATATTTATAGTAGTTTATTAATTATTACAGGAACCATGATCTGAGCCAAGCAGAACCGACGTTAACACATATGGCTCTTTACGCTTTGTACAAGGCAAGGGTTTTAAAGCACGTAGTTTCTCAAAATTGCGACGGACTTCATTTACGTAGTGGAATACCTCGTACGCTATTATCCGAAGTTCATGGCAATATGCATGTAGAAGTTTGTAGAACGTGCAAACCCCACAAAGAGTATTGGAGATTGTTCGACGTCACCGAGAAGACTGCTCGATATTCTCACGGCACCGGGAGACAGTGCCACAGGTGTGACTCTACTTTACAAGATTCGATAGTCCATTTCGGTGAAAGAGGGAATCTCCCGTGGCCGATCAATTGGAACGGTGCGACGAAAGCGGCGAAGCAAGCAGACGTTATTTTATGTTTGGGTTCTAGTTTAAAAGTGCTCAAGAAATACCCGTGGTTATGGCAAATGGACAGGCCGGTTCACAAACGTCCGTCGTTGTACATTGTTAATTTGCAATGGACTCCAAAGGATGAGAACGCGGTTTTAAAAATAAACGGGAAATGTGACGAAGTTATGAAGCGAGTTATGACTCATCTAGGAATAGAAATACCGCAATATAATCGTGCTAAGGACCCTATCTTCTTCCATGCTATCCGGCTCATGAATAGTGAACAACACACGAAGAGTCAACCGTGTTTGGAGGAGCCGCCCGAGGTTGTTTCTCAGAGAGAACTAATCGAGATCAGCAATAATTTTCACGAACAAGTTTCATCGGAAGCCAACGAGAAAGATTGTGTTCCACCCATAGAAGTGATCGAACCATTGGCTGCTTACTCGGCACCGTTCTTTACAGCATTACCATTTCTTTCAATGGGCTTGCCATTTCCACCCATGTACATGTGTCCTCAACTAACGCCACTCTTTTATTACCCATTCATGCAAGTAGCAAATTTGACCTCAGAAACGCCAAAACCTAAGCCAGCTTGTACCTTTTGTATGGAGAACGAAGGCTCGCTCACTTGTCTCTATTATGAACAGGATATAGACAATTCCACCTTATTAGGATCCGAAACTGAACAGATAAAGGACACGAACGCGTTGGTAATACACACAGATCCTCCGTTGACTCGGAAAAATCCTGGGTGGTTTGGTAAAGGATATCGGAAAGGAATGAAGAAGAGGCGGTAGCATTTACTTGTTTCAAACAAGGAGAACGATCTTCCTTTTCTCGGTTACACCGTGAACATATAGCATATGGTATATGATAATGTGCGTAAGTGTTCGACGCCTCCATATTATGGAAACTGTATACAGAACTCGTAAATGTGTAGCAACTTACTTCCAGTATCCAAACTATTAGCCATTAAATTAAAGTATTTAAAGTTGAAAAGTATAATCTAAGCATTATATTCATCCTGTTTGATAGTTGCGTAGTTATTTATGCAATTTGTTTCTCACAGTTCCGAACAAAACGTATTAATAGATCTATTTAAATATCCGTGCGAGTCAAATTGTTGATTTCTCGATTTTTATCGTTAATAATGTATTTGTAAGATATGTTTGACCCGATCTTTTTACTAATGTATAGTTCAATTATGTTGTGATTTTTAGTTATAAGACTTTTACAATGTTAAACATGTTACATGGAAAGTTCACAGTAACCAAAGTGATAATTCTCATTTCGTTACTATCGTCATCATCATCGCCAATTGGTATTTTATATTTGTACAGTTGAGTGTATCGTAATTTAAAAACGAAGTTCACAGTATTTCCGTAACAATTCTTGCATTGTTTTATCATTTTATTAATCATTCCAATTTTAGGAATTAGATATTGGAGGAAAATTAATTCTATGCATATTAAAGGACTGTTTGTAATAAATACTAAACTACGATAGATGTTTCTTTGTATCAGTCAATAATGGAATAAACAAAACATTTTATATAAAATACGTGAATCTTAAAAATGTGCAATATGTATGAACAATCTTTGTGGTGATCGGTTGTTTTATATATATTTAAGCAAATATCCTGTCTTAAAATAATAGAATCGAATATCGAGACTACCCATCGCCCTTTACTTAATTCCATGTTAAACGCGTTCCAATCAGATTTATTAACATCCTTCTTTCGAACTAAACCAGTAACATTAGGAATGAGAAAACGGTAAAGAGAGGCTCGCGACCCTTATACTCCGGTGACAAAAAAGAAAAAAACAATGGGATGTTAAGCCTCTCGTATAGTCTACAGTCTGTTGTCATGGCAACCCCATACAGCGTCACCCTATTACCACCAGCTTCGACAATGCTTATTGCGAAGCCTAACGTAGTATATTGCCAATACTATGACAATGTACTACGTCGTACGTCGACCGCTCATTGACTTCTTGACTCTGTTCAACGGGAGTTCATCACGAGCACGTGGTCTTACATTACATATTACATGTTCCTCTTGTCAAGAAAATGAAATTTAGATAAGATAGCATTACCAAAACAACAAATACATGAAATCCCATATTGTATTTTCTTTATTTTTATTCGGAGATATTCATATTTTTAAATGTTCCGAGAATGAATGTATTACCCATGAAACTGAGGTGGCTTATGTTTGTATGTATGTAAAGTCTGGTGAAGTATTATTATAATGCAATAATGGTAAACATATGCATACATACATTATATACATTTTATACTGTATGTATTACAAAGTACAGTATTTGAACACGATTTATGCTGTCGCGCCGGTACAACGTTGTTCGTACTACATTATTCAAGTGAACAGATTGCTGCTGAAGATGTATAATAGGAGAATGAATTTAAAAAGACGTCACTCCGAACTTGAAGACCTAAATCCATACAAGGAGGAGATTTATCATTATACTTCACTTACTTCACTGGTTGGTTGAGCACCCTGGCGGTGGCATTGGATACTACGGGCTCGGCAGTGCTACGTGAGAAGTCGTGATTGCGATGGAGTAGTTTTATACCCTGTTTGGTCGCCGTTTCTCATTCGCGTTCAAATACGTTTAAAATTAGCACGTTTTTAGTGTACCCGCTGCCTCTACGCGGAAAGGGAACGCTCGCGGTCGCAGCCAACAGTATGTCACCTCAGCCTGCGGCAACGTTTTATTTGTTCGCGTTAACGTAACACGGGAAAAGAAGGTGTCGGGCGGGCAGGTTATCTTCTTTGTTCGAGAAAATCCTCGTCAGCGGGCAATGGCGCGGGAACGTCCCGTTCCGAAATCGGTGTGTGCATGGTGTAGGTGATGATCGGTGTTTGTACATGTGGCATGGTGTTTATAGCGAACAGGAAGATTCACGTTGCCCGCTGGATCGACCAGCTCGTCGGTTTTTGGATACGAACCGTGTCGTGAGCCGCCATGAGGCGCATTAGCGGTAAGCCAAACGCATACTTAGCCATCTTAAGCGATACTTTTTACATTTCTCCACCGATCACGTATCAAGGCATTGCGAAGGTCACTGTTTACGTTTATCAAGCGAGTGGCATCGCGGAGGATTTCACCCAGGAAAGATATGTACTACATTAGAACGTGATTCTTAACTTTACAAGGTTGCGCACGCGCTCGTTCACCGAGCTATTTGATAATAATTATTTAACATTCAGTTTTAATAACTATTCATGTCATGTTCAACTTAATTATTCACTCCTTACAGAATATCAATTATCGTTTCTGAATACACTTTGCTACACACATTCTTCATCTCGAGTATCAAACCGTTCTCACATCTCAAACTCAGTCGTTCGATTTTATAATCTATTCAAATGTTTGATTTTTCTACGATCACGATCGACTTAATAAAGGACCAAGATTCGCAATTGGTTAATGGATTTCTCTTTTAACGAATCTTTTCTATAGACCGAAATCGAACGATCGTTCTTATTTATACAATTATTTCAACACAGATGTGATATAGACTGAAGATTTGGAAAAATATTAGGCAGAATCAGAACAGTAAATCCTCAGGTGTTCTTACACCACAGGATTGTCGTAGCAAATAGTAAAGCTAGAAAGTGGAGTTGCTTGTAACTAGCAAACGTGTTTGAACCTTTCCCCTTCTGCTGCAAAGAGGCTGCCTGAACATTTTCTCGTTTGCAAACTATAAGATTCCTTCAGCGAAAGCCGAAAAATCCATCAATAATTACCATTCTTATAGTTACAATTCTCCTAGCATATGTGCAGTCTCGGGAAATCGATTCGTAATCATTTCATTCTCAATCGATAAATAATAGAGCGTTTTACTAGTACGGAATAACAACTTTGTTCATACATTGCTTTTTGCGTATTTACTAATGACACAAGATTATAAAAAGGTCAAGACCATAACGGATTAAGATTTATTGTTAGATAGAAGAACTGCTTCATAATTATTATTGTGTAATCTCACTAAGCGATCCACAACTAATTTCTCGTATAAGTCTTTATGCACGAGTTACTGATCGTCTACGTGTTTTATGCGGGCGTCTAAATTACTATCACCCGAACAAGAAAACTTACACGTGTATTAAATGAAACGTCCATACCATATCATTGTTTTAATACTTGATAAAGTGTCATGGAAGGGAATATGTCAAGAAATAAGAAGCTTAATTTTTAATAACAGGAAGGGAAGTATTAAAGTCATTTAATCATTTTTATACAGGTGTATATCTCTTTTTCCTGCCTTCGTCTATATTTTCTCTTTTACTAAAGACAAATGATTTACACAAGTATGTGTAGTGACTCATGCAATTAATCAAACGTTTCGTATGTGACTAGCAAAGCGAAGGAATATTTGTTTTGTTTTTCGAACGGGTAATCTTCTCTATTTGATAGCATACGTATGCGTATAATAACGAATGATTCGTAATAGTTTATCATTTATAATTGAGCTCACTGGGTATTAAGACAAAATTTTTTATTAGTCGTTTGATTAGTTACTGCTGTATAATTATTTCGCTACTTCGTAGATGAGACTCGTTCGGTTTGTGAAAAATTACGCTGCTATCGATTTCGATGGTTCATTATATATTAGCCATTCGATAAAAAAATTGACTGATTGGAGGGGAGAATGAAAAATGATTAGAAAGACTGAACTAGAGAGAAGCGGAGGACGGAGTAGGAGGGGTGAAAGCAGGAAGAGGTGGATGTGAAGGAAGAGTAAAATAAGAAAGGAATGAGAGGAGGTTGCATACAGCGGACGCTGGGTTCATCATACTTTTTCCACCTATGTTAAAAATTGTATATAAATTGTACATAAATTGCCACCGGTATGCACTTAATTTGATCAATGAATTATATATATTATCTGAATTCGTTTCGATATTTTCTACTATCATTTCTTATTAACTGATGCAAACTATGTTAAAAATTGGAATTGGGGCTATGTACAGTTCTTTTTGTAATTTTTGTTCATTTCATATAATTGCTTGTAAATTTTTTACTTATATTTGCATGTGCATATGATTGAGTTCGCGTATGGTTGATACGTAGATTGAAACTGCCATATGCTTTGTAAAAATTTGATCTGGTTACTTTATGCTACGTGCTATGTGCTGTACTTGAACCTGTACAAAAGATTTGATTTTATGAAGTATTTAGAATTCGCATACTGCGTATGTCATCGAAAATACGATTGTTCATTTCAAAAAAAGGGATGAGCACATACATCTGTTTGGATACTAATGTACAAAATAATTCGTAATACGAGGTAGAAACATTTCTTTAGAAAGCAGTGACTCTGCACATCCGAAGGAACTGTATGTTTATTTATTGAGATTGGCATGCGTATTATGTATGATATATCCTCTAATACAGTCAAGTGTGAAGAAACGAGTAGCAGATCTTTTAGGATGGCTTTCCATTCTGCTGTTTATTGAAGTTTATTTAAAAATTGATTTGAAATGAGTTGGGTTCGACTTCCTGTTAGGCGATGATGATATAATTGTCAGGAAATAATTATACGTATGTCAAAGATAGTTTTTATTAAGGATTTATTGGCTATACAGTCAATCCCAAAAGTTTATGTACCTTAGAAAAACGCATTTCCTATAATTAAAAAGAAATCAGACGTCAGAAGAACAATGCTAATAATAAATAGCTGACAGATTCTATGAATTTTTCTTCTAATTTCGATATTTAATGAGTTACGTATGATTATATGGGATTTTATTGATGTTGACAAAATCCGACTATCCCAGCGTCGAAACGGCGAACTTTTGGCAAAAAATTTCATTTTTCCTTAATTACTCCTAAACCGTTGAATATACGGGAAAATTGCATAGGACCTTTCTTGTAGAGGACGACGAGATCTACAATTTCTGTATAAAAGTTTGTTGCTAGCGTCAATAGTTTACGAGTTATTAACGAAAAACGAAAAAACAGTTTTTTGCAAATAACTCGTTAACACTCGACACTAGCGAAAAATTTTTACATGGAAATTGTAGATCTCGTCACCCTCTACAAGAAAGGTTATATGCAATTTTTTCGTATGTCCAACGGTTTGGGAGTTATTGGCCAAAAACGGAAATTTCGAAGAAATTGAAGGGATACCCCTTGGAAAAATCTCGGAAAAATTGAAAAATTTTTTTTGTCGTTTATTATTAGCAATGTTCTTCCGACGTCTGATTTCTTTTTAAAAAATGCGTTTCTAAAGTGCATAAACTGTTGGGATTGACTGTATAGCCAATACATCCTTAATTATGAAGTCACTATCCAACTCAGTCAGTTTACTCTCTTCATGAGACGTTTTACTTTTTCAATATAGGCGAATCTTGTAGCGTTAATAATAAATAGGTGAAAGAACAATGTTTTCCACTATTTCAGGATAATAAGCCGTCACCTGATCTGATCTGTTCGCCCCTGCTTTGTGAATGTTGTAATCAAGAACTACGTCTGGTTTTGTCTTTGTAACTGGCTCTTCTCGCGACCGCATAACAACGTAAGTTGTAGACGCTGTGTGGCATGCTAACAGCATCGACACATTTTCTCGCGCCTCCACACTTTAGACAGTTTAGGTGGTTGCTTCTTGCTGACCTTTTTTTTTTTACTTTCTTTAACGCAGCCGCGCTTACGGAACACTTTATCTATTTGTACAGATATTAAAGCTCTTATCGTCACACTTTGATACTAATCAGGTGCCGCTACGTCTAGCTTTTCGATTTCCATTTACCATCACACTTTCACCCCGAACGCGTAATCGAATGAAGCACTGAATACTGCTATATATTTAGTTTTATGTTACATTTATCTGCTTCATTTTCTGCGCGTACACACATAAAGGCTTATTTAGCTTTCATTGTCCCGAAGAGTGAAATACGATAGTACCGTCGACACAAATCACGTAGAGGAATGCAATGGACTTTAGACTGCAATCACTGATCAAACTTCAGCTTCTTTTCAAAATATATCTGCTTTATCTTCGCCTTATGTTGTATATTTCAGAATAATCAAGCTGCGGCCGTGGTTATACGCGGGGAAACTTTACACGATAAACCCATAAAGTGTGTAAAGCTAAATTAAGTCTTTGTGAAATGCCCGTGTACTCTCTCCGCGTACAATATGGTGCGTGGAAATATTTACATGAAACATCTGTCAATTTGAAGCTTGTATATTTACTGCGTGCCCGCCTCTCGCTTAAACGCTTTTCAGGATTTAAATAGCGCGCGCCGGAAGTCGAATCGTTCGATTCTTATTTATTTATCTCGGAGGAGGAACGGAGAGACCCTTGCGTCACAGAATCTTTTAATACACCCTAGACACGTAGCCGTTATAGAGCAATTGCGTTATGTGCAGCGCAATTAAAGGGACGAAACTCGTAGCAGAGTACATGTTCGATAGCCTGTCTTGAGCTTCGCTTGAATCTCGCTGCATAACGGTTAAAAAGCGTGCGAGGATCGGGTACTTTTTTAACGGTAGCTAAATATCAGACGCAGCAGCAGCGTACGAGTGGCATTGAAACGCCGCCGTGGCTATTTGCAGCACGATTGCTTTCGCTGATTTTTTTGCCAGCCTAGGTATAGGTTCCATGGGCTTGAAAGTGTAGGTAACACGAGATGATGCCACGTTACTCGAAACGTGGTGTACAATGTTGCCATAGTGTATCTTGTTTACACGAAAGCCGGTCGGTGAGCGTGGCAACGTTGCAAACCCTGTAGAATCTTGCTCTCGTTCATAGCCTTATTGAGGAACACCTGCATAGGACATATTGCTAAAATCACGTTTTCCTGCTAGCCTTAGCTTTTCTTCATTTCAACACGTCCGAAGACGAGCGTCATCAAATAATTATTCATTAGATTGCGCGTTAAAACTGTAAAAAAAAACGTTACACTGTAGTTTGAATTCTATTTAGTAGCGCCGTCTTATCAGGATACAGGTTTCTGACTAACGTCCTTTTTAAACGATATTTTCTTTAGCTACAAATAATGTGAAATTCCTGTTTGAACGCAGTGTATTCTTCTCGACGTTCTTAAGCTTTCTTAAGCCCGGGGTTGTTCCCTACTATTCATTATATTCTCATACATATCCGTCCCCTTTGGAGCTTGTTTCTTGCTCTCTCGTCTCGTATTCTTCCCTGCACTTGTCGCATTCAAACTCGTACGTCAATAACCCAGTCACTCCGCAAACCATGGGGACTCCTTGCATCCGCGGTTACTACATTTTTACCTGTACCTTTATTTCCCCCGTTGTCTTCAATGTAATAAAACAAATTTGTACGAATGCTTCGCGGAAGTACTTTACATAACTCGATCTCGAATACTTTCTGATATCTTTAAGATGTTTTATGCTTCACTCTCCATCATTTAATTATATATGTATGCGTAAAAGAAACTTTGTACGAAACTTATTGCTTTCAGTAATTTATTATGTATGTTGCGTTCTTCTTATTGAAGAGTTTGCATGCAACAAAAAGGAATTTATTGATCGTAATTGCTCGGTTCAACCCGTTCACGTCCGTCCTTGACAGGATGCACGTATCAGGATTATCAGATACGTTATGCAAATTGCTCCAGCTAATCACGAGATCGTCTTTTCCGTTTAGTCTCCAGTTGCAAGACATTCTTTCGCACTTCGACATTGATTTGTGTTTCAACCGCACCGCCGCCGTACGCATCGTCCTTCGATTAGAATTTCAGAAGCGATTGTCTTTGAAAATTTTATTTTTGGTAAGTCACTTCGATCGAGGTTCTTTATATGATATAGAGAAGCTTTAACTAATTACAAACGGGATGCGTATTTATCTTAGGGATAAAAACGTCCATTTATGTTTCGTAACGCGGTTAATGCTCGTTCTCTTATATTTCACTGTGTAGGAGGAGTCAAAGCTTGCACAAGACATTGAATACTTTTTTTATCGTACGACAGAAGTAAAGAATTATAGTTATGAAACGTGCGATCATTCATATTCATTTACATCGTCTAAAACAGTTTATAGTTGTCCTTATTCGTTTTTTATCTTGATATTAAATTAATTGTGTTTCTTAAGCATAGAATTACGAGGGATGGCTTCTAGCGTTTCTTCCTAGCGAGATAAACCCAGAGTCACAAGTAAACATACAGACCACTTACATTCATTGTTCTATTTAGGTCAATTGAATACGTTGCCATGTGCTCTTATACGCTTCTGCGTTCATCTTCAGTTTTTTTTTTATAGAGGCATATCGGTTCTATATCTTACGAGCTGAGCACAATGTAAGTGAAACGAGGTATTTTTGTAGGAAAAATGAAAAGGATTAGTTGGGGCTATTGAACCTCGGAGCCTACTGTTAAGTCTCGGATAGGAGAGATATTTGCATCGGCGTGAAGTTTAGCTGCTAATGATTTACGATGGCTAAGTAGTTTAAATGAACCAGGTTGAATTAACGTAACGAGGATGAACATTTTCTTGAGAACCGTCTCGCATTGCCTTTAGCGCATTTTCTTGTTAGCTCGGCGGTCGATTTTACTTTTCCTTTTCTGGCCACCGTTCACCGCTTGATTCCCTTTAACAGACCATCTTGATTTGTACAGCGTCGTCACGTCCAAGTTCAGTTTTTTATATCCGGTTCTTACAAAATAGTTAGTTACCTCATTCTGTTACCCATGTTTCGTACGCTTTACGGTATATATACTTATAGTACTCCTTTGAGAAACGTGAAGTCGTCGGGGCCGAGAAGTCACACTTCACCTGTAGGACTTTTTCACATTCACCGAAGGAACACTGTTCCTGTCTATTGGGATTTAGAGGCAGATCTGTTCCAGTTATTTCGCGATAGATAATATTCCGATTCTAAATCCGGCGCAAGATTTTTCTGATCAGGCGGTTTTAGGCATTTCCACGTGGAAAGTTGTTTCACGTGTCGCGTTTTTGGAAACCTACGCGTGCAAGTATAACCGGGGGCAGCCTACGCCGTTCTCCGGAAACTTGTTCACCCACCTTCGACCTCGCCTCTTTGCATTTGCTACACCAACGACCACGCCGGTGTCGCCAACCCGATGCCTGTACCCAACGCGAAACGTTTCTGACAGTCTTATCCGGTTATCTCCACCGTTTCGCGGACGCGCCATGTATCCCGCAAATCCGTTAAGAAGCTAGCGCTTACTTCGTTATATATCTGTTCATTGTTAATGAACGGAAGAGAGAACAAGAGTGACGCGTTTAACGTTCCCGCAACAAGTGAATTATATAACGACGACGAGATTATTTGAAGAAGTGGTCCAAGTTAATATCGCGGTCCAAAAGAGAAACGCTAAACGTTAGAACTGTAACTCTTTGAAACGTGACTTGAACAGTCGTTTCTTGTATCCACGATTTTCGCTCGATTATGCGTGGCACCGACGACGTTCAGATAGACCCGCGAACGTTTAATATTGTACGTAGTGAGACGCAAAGAGAGAGTTAATCGAAGTCGATATTTTAAAGTGCCTATGAACCGAGTGAATGCACGTCTATGTAAAAGCGAGACGAACCTGATTGACGGACGATAATAACTATCAAATACTACTAATAATAATAATAATAAAGCTGTGAAGAAGAAAGTTTATGCTGACTATACGTGTATCTGCATAAAACAAACTCAGTTCTACCATAAATGGCGATCACTGCTGTTACGAGCTGCCTGGGTCCCCCGCCCTTACCACCTGGCAAGCGCTTTCTGCAGAAGTCGTCGAAAAAATTGTCCTCCACTTATAGGAGCTTTCACGACCCGGCGGTCGAGGCTTGGATACCGTGCGGCGTTCTCGAAATGTCGAGGATGAAACTTCGTCCGCGGGAACGTGGCCCGGTGATTTGCACGATAAGCAACGGCAATTTGTTCAGAAGCCGGTCCGAGGGCAATCTGAGCGGGCGTAAAACGAACGCGGCATTATCCTCCACACCCCTTGATAAGTGCATCCAGGCGATTTATGGTAGCTGGAAGAATCTCATGCATCGTAAGTGCCGCGAGCCTCCTCCTCCTCCTCCCGGCTACACGGTCACAGTTCAAATTACACGGAATATATTTAACGAGCTTCTATTCTCTACTTTTATTATATCTGAAATCGGTTAGAATTATTTGTTACCCTATCACAGCACTTTAACAGTTATTCAAACTATGTGAAAGGTACATTCGAGATCTGACTAAATACTGGGCTTCAAGTGAATTTTACAGCTATGCTAACACTTGAAATTCTTCTTGGTTCCCACTCTGGCTCGATCAATATTAAAAACATTACTAGAATTAATATCATACGTTTCTTCCCATTTTTTAATACCAAATAAAGATTCGGCGTTACTTTATATAATATTTTCTTTCTTGTATATAGACTTTTATCATCGCAGATCATTTGCTTATTTTCCTTTACGTGACAATTTCGTGCTTTGTACAGCTTTATCTGTCTCACACAATAGCTTCTTTTAGTAATCGTGATACGTTTGCAAATGCAGCAAATCCTTATCTTATACGTGCCTGTATTGCTTTTAAAAATGCTGAGAATTTGTCGTGAGAGATAATGTTGATGAATTTAACGGTTGAATAATTTTTATTCAAACGCAGAATTCAGATTGAATTTTGTTCATGCAAATTATAATTAGCGCAGGCTATAATTAAATCAGTTATTTGATTTACAGCCAAAGCGATACGTGTAAATATTGATCGTAATTGTTTACGGTCGCCCATTGATTAGCGAAATTAATTAAGAGACCGGATAACATCAGTGGTACATGTATATTAGTTTCATGACACGAACAACATGTTACGTATCAAATGACACGTGTTGAATGCGAGTCACGAAAACGCCCACACTCTAGCCAGCTAGTTCTTTGATGGATTTAATTCCCGAGAGATCTCTAGCAATTTATCTGCGTGCTTTATTAACTCGAACAATTTATGTTCCGCCGTACGTTACGCCGCTAATTTTATTAGCGTCGAATGCTTCGGTTAAATGCACCTATTATATTATTGCCTGTGTGCATTTGTCTGCAATTTTATTCACGTAACAGCGTTAATCGATTCTTGTTTAAATAGCTGATTATTATCAACGCGTTTATGACTTCACGCTATCAGTTGCCTAAAGGTTCGCTTTTACGAACTTGGGTACGTATGCTTTTGGCTCAACTCCTTTGATTAAGCTTGCAACTAATTGCAAGGTAACGGTGTGATGTGTATTTGCGTAACACATTTCACATTCCTCGGTTGGATCCGTTATGAAATATTATAATTATTCTGCATCATTGGCTTGCTCGATGAATTGACGCTTGTGTCATCTAAGTTCAGATTACCGTCATGAATTATAAGTAGGAATAGCAGGAAGCATTCGCATAGTAAGCAGTCGTTGTGTAAGAAGTATGCACCGTAGAGAGAGAGAGAGAGAGAGAAAGAGTGGGGACCTTGGTAGTTGAGTTGAGAATCATTTAAATAATCTTCGTATCAACATTACAGATAAAATCATTTAGGAATAAAGAATGTTGAAATAAAAATGTACGTGTAAAAGTTTTCCGTATGGTGAACAGATACTTCAATTCGGTTATGAGCTGAAGGAGTGTCCTTTCACGATTTTCATTCGAATCTTGTTCTCAGAGGAGGATAAAAAAGTACCATAGAAAACAGGGTCTTAACGTTCTTACGCTTTCAAGTCTCTGTATTTACACAGCTAACGAATTTACACGGACACGCTGGCTTTGACCTTCTCTCTATCTTTTTTTTATTCGGCTTTTTATCTCCTTTCCTCGTGCTCTCTGTAATTTCGTGTCGAGCCTTCTTCACGCCTACGCACATCTTTTCTATACGCCTAAATTCCTCAGACGATTCTATAGAATGACATTAATTACTTCACCAAACAGTATGTCTTTTTTTGCCTTCAAAGGAATATCGTGCATCGTTATTTCTTAGTTGGGGAACGTGTTTCGCATTCTTGAGGAATTAAACATTTCTTTCAACTCCGGAAAAATATAAATTGTTGTTCTTCCCTGATTTCTTCTATTTTTATTTATTTCATATTTCACAAAATAGAAAAACATGATTTTTAATATGACGTCCATCATGATCCAAGAAAGGATGCATTAAATTTATCATGAGAATTAGTTAAAAACCGTTCAGTATTTCCAGTCTCTTTAATATAATTGAAAGGCGACTGGTAATATCAAAGTTTATTAATTACCAACATATATGCGCACGTATTGATAATTTATGCACGTGGCAAGACCATAAAATGCACGGATCGTTGCCGATGTAAGTACATAATTCGCAGTCAGATATCGACCTTGATTCAAACTTTTTACCCGTTGCCATAAATCTTGCACGCCTCGCGATAAAATACTTTTACTTCTGAAGTGTACATATTAACCGGAGCCAAATGAACGAAGCGAATAATGTAAGAGAGTAAGAGATGATGATGCGGAGGTATTAGGAATTCTTTCTCAAGGAAAAAATAACGTTGAAAATCAATTCAGATATGTGAGCTCATCGCTCGATAAAATAGTTAATAATAACCCGGGACATAAATATCTTAACGCTCTATATGTAATGTTTACCGTCGATAAATTAATAATACTTGTACAATTTTTATGAATTACATTTAAGTTCTACTCTGGAACTAAATTGACTGCGTGGTCTGGTTGGTCTTGTTGGGGTTTGACACAATTGTCTATTTGTAGAAGACAGAAGTTGAATTGTGAATCTGTATTAGAGGTAATCAGCTCTCGAGGGGGATGATAATCAAATAGGCGCATCAGAGCACCGAGTGACGTTTCATATCCTTCAGCGTTGATATCCTCGGTGGTGAAATAATACCTGCGCTTATTCCAGATCGCTGCTCTACATTCCTCAGTACGTATTGGCCTACTTTAATTATGCATCCAAGATGTAGACCGCCTCTGTTCACAGCTCTCAATACCTGTTACTCCCACAGCATCAAAAGTTTTGTAATATCACTGTACTCCGTGGAATTATTCAAACGCTCATTCATTCATTTTATTCGTAACACACTTTCATTCATCAAATGTAGAAATGCTAATCGATTTACTAGAATTAATTATATGAAGTATCGCGATCTTAATAAGGTCAAGTGTTATTTAATCAGTGGGAATTTTTATTCTACATGGAAACCCACGGTTTGTGAATAATTAATATCGAATGATGAATTAAGGAAGGGAATGTTAATTGCATGCGTAGTTGGCGGCATGAACCGGCCGTCCAAAGCTGTGACCCAGGCGAAGAAAGTGGCACCACCGGCTGTACCCGATGTATTTCGACATTCTGGCTCCTCGTTCGGTTCCGCTGGATACGCGAGCAGCGAAGATGGCTGTTTTCTACCCGGAAGTGGATCAGGCGGAACAACGGACGAGGGTTCTTACGGAGTACCATCTGGAAAGAGTCCGGGGCCTATTTTTACCCACCCCGGCTTCGCCTTCCCGTCAGCCGTCAGCAAATATGCTCATGCTGAGGATCAAGGTGCGAAATACTCTTTTTATGAGAAGAAGTCTGCGCCTCGTTCTCGCAGTTTCATTCTTGTACATTAAATTGACATCGATCAGTTCGTCGTCAAGGATAATAAAATGTAATTTCCGTGTGTGGTAATTGAATTACATTGAAAATAATGAATTTGTGATTATTCCTTTAAGGAATCGATATGACACAAAGTCCCGGAAGAGATAGCCCAGGAAGTTCAGGATCAGGATCCGGTTCCAGGCATTCTACAGCTTCGTTAGACTCAGGAAGAGCCTCTGGATATCATTTGGGTCCTAGAGGGCCTGGTGCGCTTGCCTCGTCCCCCAGGTGTTCTATAAGCTCGCTCGGTAGTCACCCAGACAGACCGGCAGATCTTGACGTTGTTCATGCTTGGCTGACCGAGCTCCAATTCGAGGAATACTTCCCATTGTTTGCTTCCGCTGGCTATGATCTCGCTACTATAACGCGTATGACTCCAGAAGATCTGACAGCGATAGGTACGTGTAACGAAATACACGTATCGGAAGACGTGAAAGATATTAAGAATGATCCCCGACAGAGCTCGTGTATCAACGTTGAACCTCTTGTGTATTTTCAGGTATAAAGAAGCCTAATCATAGGAAGCGCTTGAAAGCAGAGATAGATAATTTAAATATAGGCGACGGTTTGCCAGAGCATATTCCTGGCTCGTTAGAAGAGTGGCTCAGACTTCTACGGTTAGAAGAATATCTTGGTGCTCTTCATCAACAGGGTATGCGTTCGGTCGAAGATGTGACCACCCTCACATGGGAAGATCTTGAAGACATTGGTATCGTGCGTCTCGGTCATCAGAAAAAATTACTGTTAGCGATTAAAAGAGTTAAGGATATTCGTGCTGGTAAACGCATACAGCCTCTTGATCTCGCACGGCTGCCGCCGCATCCTGGACAAACCCAGGTAAATGAATATACCACGCAGGAATTTTATAATTCACGTTTCTCGTATTTTCAATTTGCTTCGGCTATATTTTCAGGACGTAGTTATTCAGCGAGGAGGCCCGGACTTGCCGTCGCCCGATGAGGATTGTTCCTCGCCTGTCTTGAGGTCTTTCCAGCGGGGAGGAAGCGACACGACTTCAGGGACTGTGTGGAGAAGTATGTACGCCGCGCTGCCAGCCGATTACAACATCGTTGGTCGGACTGGTTCACGAGGTAAATCTTTGGAAAGCTTGGAAGATGCGCCTCTTGGGTACCCTCCGTCGCCGGCACCTTCTGCGCACCCACAGCCGACCGAATGGCGTCCGCGCAGTTTCGAAGACGGTGATCTGACTCCTACAAATGATACTTCCACGGTGGACGCGGGTGGCGGAACTCTACCGCGACCGAGACATTGCCTTGTTCGTCCACGACCTGTAGCCAAGGTACGTGTACTCATTTGCATTGTCAGAGATTGTCGTGATCGTGAATGATGCATGATTCATTTCTCGTTGCAGGTTACCGCGACTCCAGGGCAATTCAAGTCATTGCCAAGAGATTTTGATAACAAATATCAACTAACTTATGGACTCGAGAGTAGTCCACATCTTCCGAAACGTTGTCCTCCGTCTCCTCCAAGACGCCAGAGTTCCAGAGACAACAGTGGACCTGTCGGGGGACCGGGTGTTGGCGATGTCGTAATAGATTGCAGCGGCCCGGTACCGACGGCTTCTTGCGAAGAGCACCATATACATCATCAGCATCATCATTTAATTCACCATCCTTCTCCGCCACCGCCCGCACCAGCACCAGTACCATCCACTCCGCCTCAAATGAATCGACCGCCTTCTTCGATGTCTCGTTCTTGGGGTAGCGTCAGCGTCAACGTTAACGAGGAACACGAATTGATAGCCACTCTTGCTCTGCAACATCGCAATGGCTCCGATGCCAGCTTCAAGGTATAGTTATTTGTATTTGCTATGTAGAAATTTAACTGACAAGATATATTTTTACATAAAAAGCTTGGATACTTTATTTGGTTAATAGAATTTTTTATGGATTATTATGTATCTTTTACGTGGTTAATATTGATCGTGTTATTTCAGTCAAGCTCCAGTACAGAATCAGACTCATTACCATTCGCAAATGAGAATGCTGGTACGATTAAACAGAGAGCAGCCCGTGCACAAGAATACACAAGCAGTAATACTGGCAGTAACATGCAGACTCATGGAATAAGTCATCATACTAGTGGCAGCGAGCCAGCGGATGTATTGAACGACATTGGAAACATGCTTGCGAACCTCACCGACGAACTCGATGCCATGCTCGAGGAAGAAAAACGACAAGGTTTAAATTCGTAATCATTGTTTCTTTTATCGAGACACTCCTTCCTTTTCCGAATCGTTGATTTTACGAATTACGAAAGCCGCGAATTTAGGAATAAAAATCGACAACAGACTATGACGTAAGATACAATAATTGATCTGCTCATACAGTTCGCAAGATTAAACAGAATGAACGTCGTAAAGAAAAGACGAGTATCAGCGCGAGACCTTCCAGTGAAAGATATTCGGCGTTGAACGAATGTTAAACTACTTTTTATCGTGTTGACGTACGACACAAGTTATATTACACACATAACAATATCCTGTTACGATTGTATAAATTAATTTAGTGGACTGTATTCCTCCACGCCATAATATCGAATTTTATTGGTTCTATATTTCATTTATTTTCTTTTCTTTTCCTCTTCGCATACGATAAAGTTTCTTATTTTTCTATCAGAATATTATGAGCTTATCATGAAGTTTCCAGAGATTTGAACGTTGCACAATTTTTGCATTTTGGAGTACTTATCGCAGTGCGTCTTTTTTATTTCAGTTACGTTTGTTATATCGAACGTATAACATTAAGACTACGGAGTTCGTAATGATTTATATTATACACTTTTTGATAACTGGATTTTTTACACGAATTATAACTATTCGAGGGAAAACTACATTAAGATAAAAGCGCAGATCTACTGAATAAGTATAATGAACATTTATGCCTTATGACAATAAGACTGCAAATAACGTCGGTGTAGTCTAGGTATCACGATGTACTTCACGTCACCCATTTTACCATCCGCATACCATGAAGACTGATTCTTTTTCTCTGGAAACTTCATCGTTCATCTACGTATATACATTCCATCTAGCGTATCTCCCCCCTTTTCCACTTCCGTCCTTTGCTAAAATGATAGCATATTAGATTGGGACCTTCATAACTGTTGGAACTGTTAGACATTTTGAGATTAGTACGATACAAAGAAGTATACTTCTGTATCCCTTCTCCAGAGTAAAAGTAAATCTTCCAGTAACGTCAAAGGAAAAGAAATTAATATTACTAAGTCAAGTTGTTTTGACGATGATGAAGCATAATTATATCTTTGACTATATTATGGTACAATTTCTATAAGAATTCGCGGATAGTTTATACGAGAAAAATTTACATCTTCCATCAACTAAACTTGTACGGTATGTTCTCGTGAGACTGAGAACATAAAACATTCGACTGCCAATTAAAATTTCAAGATTATACAGTTTAAATACAGAATCATATGCACTGTATGCCAATTAACATTTTATATTTATTATCCGTACTAATATAGTGACGTATACAACTCACTATTGTTATATGGTGCACAAGAATACGTGGAACGCCGAGTGTCCATGTGTATTAAATCAAAGTAATCGTCGTAGTAGAATCATGTCGATAAAAAGTGTTCAGGTTCTCCTCAAGTTTACACATTATACAGATCTGATTTTGAGAAACTTACGTATGTGTGAGTTTCGACATTCGTTAGGTTTCGTTTACAAACGTACGCCTCGTAAATGTATATACATTTATACATGACGATTCCAGATTGCCTGTGGGTGCTGCGTTAATGCGTTATTTATTTTTCAGATTTTAAATACTTTTAAGTCTGTGATCTTTAAGCCTGACATCCTGTAAATCGTGTTGCAATTTCGTATTTTGTTTCATACATAAACGAATGCATAAAAATTCTTAACATGTCTCAATTCGCGCAAGCCTGAAACCTGGAATTCTCGTATATGAATGTATATAAAATTTTGCACACGAAAGTTATTAAATCCTCCTCGTTTCTCATCGTACGAGGAGTACAAGTTGCTGTTTCTTTATAGTCTCGCGACTAAGAACATTGTTTTACGCAATTAAGATTAGTTACAGCTAATTCAGTCGAATTGCCGTTATTTTAATAATATTTTATTTTAGTCTTGATGTATGGTTCGTTGTACGTATGCAAAAACCAGTTACGCTATCATTATGAGGAAAGAAAAATGTGGTGTATGTATATACACACAAGATTTTGAAATACATAAAACTTAGGCTAATCAACTAAATATCGAGGCTACATTATTGTAGCCCACAGACTTGTTAACTACTGTAGGTATATATAGTAGATATACATATATCAGTTTAAGCAGTGTACTTAGGGAAACTGTTTTTGCGGTGCTGCGAATTTATCAGTTTATTATTATTTATTTTAATCCTTGTCTATACTGTGTGCTTACAGATGTACCAATTTTTAAGTTATATTTGCGTAACGAAAGGTAGCACAAGATTTTAATATTTTTATTTATACACGTATTTTATAAATTTGGCAACTTGACTTACTGTTCTGTTGAATGTTTGAAACATTTTATAAATTATTCAAAGAGACTCTTTTAAGCTCTCGTTTTATCCTATACGAAAATTTTTAGATCTTCCAAAGATCGATAAGAAGGTATTTAGGTTTTTATATTTATATATGACGAATAGTTGTTTTAGTTGTAGACGCAGAACGTTCAGTCAATTATGTGTTTCTGACAATTATGTAAATGATATATTACTGACGAAAATATTGATATACCTTATACGATTTCAAATCATGCATGCCATTCTGCTTGAGCAATTCGCAAATAATCGAGTAAAACGATCAGTAAAAAAATGAGAGATGTGAAATAACAAACATTTAATTGCTACCTATATAACGTAAATAGTAAATGTCAGTAGAAAACGAAAGATCTTATGCTAAACAGTGACGTGATAGATCAGCCATAGCCAATATGCAAATTTGCGAATACAATAAAGGGTAACGCACACTGCCGTTTTTTATGAGCCGTTTTAAATGAATCAAGAAGTTCTGCGTATTTTACAAAATAATCTGCGGATAAGAGACGTTTAAGCATTAAATGCGAATTACCGGTTTTATTTAATATTTAATCGGAGCTCGGAGTTTCCGATTAAAAAAAAGTATTATGAACAATTCCAGTGGCATTTCGATGGTACTATTTTAAGTAGAATATTTAAAGACGAGGATCTGATGATACAAGGTCCAGTGAAAAAAAAGGGAGAATGTCATAATGTAAAAAGGACAGTAAAATATGTTTTGATGTTATTACGGATGGTTAGACGGATAAAATTATTATTTTTAAATAAAAGAAACAGCTATGCAAACGAACTAAGTTTATTTAAAATGCTTTTAATCTTCAGCTCGGTGTAAAGGAAATAATATCTATAAATTAAGCACGTAAAATAAACCTAAGACGTTTACTGCAAGTAACACGTTCGACTAATTAATAAAACTGTGTACCGAAATAAATGCTTTGAAACAGTTGATGGCATTCTTAAACTAGGCCAACTATACCATTTAAGTACTATTCTTAAGCCACTGTTCTCTTTTCTCATTTATCAATGTAGTAACATTAAATGGTTTTAAATCCTTGGCAAGTTTTAAGCAGCTAATGCAGAATTCCTGAAGACATTGCTTCTACGTGGTATATACATATTATACATATATAAATATTATATGAATGCAAATATTAAATATAAATATAGATATATGAACGTATTTATATTTATGTATTTGCATTAAATTAGTCATAGTTTTTGTACAAACGTATGCGTCGCTGCGGTTTCGTTCAGCGAATCAAATACCCGCCTAATTGCATTTTAGGAGTCCTCGAGACCCTCTCCTACTATCTGTATTTGTTTAAATGCACGTTAAATACATTACTTGGTTTATCGAATATGATGAAAGAGATAATTAAATAAAACTCAATTGACAAACTCTCATTTGCATTTCAATGTGCCAACCAACGTCTCCTTATTAGTTGTTCATTTTTACTCCGTTCATTATTCGGACAAGCATCTTCCCAAGCAGAAAATTAAAATAACTCTCACTTACCTCTCATTACACAGTCGGGGTCGCCGGTGACACAGTCGCCGTTGCATGTTGCACTCCCTTTTAAATCCTCACGAGAATCCCGTCATCTCATTCTCCTACCAATCACAATCGAGCTCCACACGCATATTTGTCATCCCTCGTTATGTTTCTTCTAAGATTCCATTTTTCTGTACTAGGCAGTTTTACGTAGTAAAAGATTCTTTAAGATTTTATTTATGTTTTAATAGTCTTCTGCAAAGAAGGTGTGAACGATACGAGACTTATTCGCTTTCAGTTAGAACCGAGAGATGATTGGTGCCCTCATTCGCTCGAGTTCTATACTCAGCAGCACGAGTGCGCTCGCGAATCCTTTGGATTTTGTTCACGGCAAGCTTTACCTAGTGGAGCCGCTATCGCGGTTCGGGATGTGTCGTTTTTAGAGACGTTTCTTTCGAAACTGTGGTGCGCGTCGCGACCTAATTTTTCCTTGTTTTTATCCGCAAACATTAGTGGGAGTCTGTGGAGAAATGTGGAAAGTGATATTTATTTAAGCGTGTCGGATGTGACCAGTTCGCCCGGGGCGTTAATTAACCAGTGCAACTTGTGACCGTGCGTGATTCTGAGGTAGAGGATTCATAGCTTCTTTCTACTCGACTGCCTTCCATTACTATTTAGTAGTTGCGACAAGTTGCCACGAGATCGTTTCGTGTGATTGCCCTTTTCCTCGAAGGATCCCAAGGATCGGCGGAACAAGGATGCTTCGAAAATTGGGTTAAAAGGTTACCAATCCTCTTATTGTCTTCACCACGAAAGTGTTAAAAGCGTCACCGATCGTGGTTTCTTGGATACACGCACGCATGCATTCACTATTGTATCAACGTTGTTCACTAATTTTTTACTCGTCGATTCACGAGACCATATTTCATTGCTTTCGATAATTCTAAAGAACGTAAATCTATTTCAAACATTTATTCAAGCTCCGTGTTTTCCACGTCTTACTAAATAAAATCAGTTGCTCAGTTGTCAGTCGTTGAAAGCAGTAATCTTAAGAGACCAACGAGATTTACAAGGAAGCAACGTCAAGTGAATAATAGCTGGAGAGTACCGCTTGTTAATGCGAGTCGTACATTAGAAAGTGTAAAGATTTTCAATTTTTTATTATCAAAGATAACTTTCGAATCAAAGTCGTCGTACCTACCGTCGGGTCACGTGAATTCATCGCGTGGAGATGTAGAAACACACAAACACGCGAGAAGTACCGTTTCTCAAAACGGTCGGCCGCGAGTGCGACGATAATTTGCAACGTAAACGTTCCCATACAGTTACTTTCAGGTCGGTTTCGAAGTTTCATCGTCGATGCTTATCGCGGAGAGAATTTTTATACTCAATTATACATCGTAGAAATCTTAATACTCTCCTATAACACTTGCATAAAGAAATTCAGATCTGACTTCAGTTCGCTCGACTGCCAGTGGAAATGTCGAAAATGAGGACGAACGATCTTAAATTATTTTTTATTCATCTTGCGTACGAAGAAGTCTCATCTAAAAATAATTCTTTAGAATTTTAAGATCCAATCCTTCACGAATGATAAACTAACGAGTTTTATTCCTACATTCAGTCTCGGATAAACTTGTACTTTGTTTTTTGTAAATACAGTCATTGCATTTTCCAAGATTCACGCGCGGTATGAATTAAAAGTAAGATTGACAAATGAATCAGCGTCACGTTCTGTTCCCTAAATATTTAATTACAAGCTTTAATCCCGCGGTGGAATCGATTTCGCGACGATTATTTTGGTCAATTGAATCGCACGTTATGCTCGTGGTTTCTTGCGCGACTAGGCATCGTCATAAATGAACGTGAACTTTGCGCGAACGTATCTTCCGGGGGACAAAAGAAAGAAAAAATACTGATTGTTCGCGCAAAGGAACGTCTATTGTGACTGGGACTTGTTTATTCGCTTTCTCTTGAAATCATTAAAGGCAGCATTGTAAAGCAATGTAAATGTTTGTAACATAACAGGTATTCACGTACATTTCGACGCTAGCGACGATACGCAGGATGACACAGCTCTTTATCGTCGATTATGAAATCGAGAGAGGTTGAACGGTGACAGAATATCGGTGCATTGAAATAGATACTGAGGTTTGTTCCTCTTTAATCTCGCCGGGGAAAATTACGTAATTCGCAGAGTAAAGCGAGCAACAAGCGACGAGAATTTTTAATCAAAGGCGACCGGCGGAAACGCGTTAAAGAAAAATAAGAATAGAGGTGACGCTGTCAGAGGAAAACAGACATCGAAGCGAGTAATGCATTAAAGCAAAAAGAAAAAAAGCGTACGCTTTGTCGTATATTCACTGACGGCGAGCGCCGGAATCGCGAGGGAGGACTCGAATAGTTGAAAGCGAGGGAACAGAGAAGATGTTTATAGAACAACAATGAAGACAGAGGCAGAAAAGGGGGATTCACATCTCTGCCGTCAAGTAGGGGAGCGAAAATTAGTGGATCGCGATACAGCGAGGGTGTGCACGAAAAGTAACGCGAGGGAAGAGGAGTACAAAACGACCGAAAGGTAAAAGAGAAACGACAGAGGAAAGAAAAAACCGTGCCGCATACGTAACGAATGAAAAGAGGAATACGTAGTAGAGGAGTACTCGATCGAAACAGAGGAAAGAGAAAGGCGCGCCGCGTAAAAGGGAACGATAAACGTTTGGCGGGAAGCCGGTCGGAAAAAAGAACGGGAAGGTGTCCGGAGAGGAAGGCGAACGACGAAGTTTCGGATTAAGTGCAATAGAGAAAGAGAAAGAGAGAGAGACTGAGAGAACGAAGGAAAGAATAGGAGCGCTGGAGTCCGATGTTCAGAATCGGACGATGGCCGGGGCTCTGTCCGAGAATGCCCCGAGGCCTGTTAGTGTTGTTGCGGTAGGCGGTGTGGCTGCTGATGACGCGAGGAACGACCAACCCATCAGACCGCAGGTATGTGTGTAGTATCATCAGTCGTCCCAATATCGTCCCTCTCATGACCAAATTCATGATCGTGAAAAGTTTCGATCGATTATACTCATGTTGAATGCAGCTTTCAAGTGTTCGAAATTTCAGAAATTCTCAGAATTGAGATGTTCATCTCACTGTTAGTTAGAAACGAGGCTTTTCGGGAACTCTGAAACCAGGCCCCATTCTCCTATAGTCCCCTGGCTTCAACCGAGGAATGACAAAGATTTTGATTTTGATGGAATTCCTAGGAATCACGGGACAATGGACGTTCTTTCACTTCTACGGAGGCGCAAACGGAACTCCCGCTGCAAAGTGGTCCAGAGGCTCGGAGGAGAGAGAGGCGGAGGCGCAGACATTGCCGTCGGGGCACGGGATGGTACTCCATGCCACCATCTTATCCTGGGATATCAGCGGGATGCCAGGCTTCCTCGACTGCGCCTGGGGTACCACTGGTCGCTCCCACCAGAGGAATTTTGCATCCACCGCCGCCTCACTTAGGCCTCAGGGGCCTTAGTCTCGGTCTACCGTTTCCGGTCTCGACCAGCGTTTCTGCTTTCGGCCGGTAAATATACATTATATATACAGAACACGCGGTTAATTCGATCAGATAAGCTTTGAGATCATGTATGATCAAACGATTCACGAATGCAGTATTCATCGATTAGCTCCAGTCTTTTATCTCCAACAATTTCCTAGTCGTCCAATGAATTATGATCCGACTGTTCATAAAAACAGGATTCAACATTTTCCTTTGCAAATTAGACGATCATCGTATCGCGTTTGTATAATTTGAAGGATTTCTCCCAGTTCTGTTTCACTGCTATAAACGCAAGGATACACGTGATATCGATAAATTCGTAACGAACAAAACGTTTGTCATCGACGTACTGTACATCTGCGGTAACGAGACAGACCCGGCAGAATCACTGTGCAACCGTTTGTGCCATACGTGTCAGTGGGTCATTCCAACGGTTTGCTCTTGTGTCTCGTAGGGATGCGGTTCCGAAGCAGTGCTGCGGCCTTGGTTCCCCTCCTGTGCGTTGGTCCATATTGGGCGTCGGCGTGGTGGGCCTGGTGTGCGCGGGTGCCGGCGCTCTGCTGGGGGCTCTTAGGGCCTCGGGTCGCGATCACATCGCCGTCGCACTACTTATGATCGGTAAGAGATTCACTTCATCCTATCGTCTTATGATGACAGAGATAAATTATAGTTCAGAGCTTGTCACGTACTCGGTATATTCGTGTGCACGTCATGCTCTTAGTGTGACTAGTTTGGGGACGATCATGCATTGACGGAAGCTTTAAATACACGTGAAAGAATTTTCTATGCGAATTTCATATTATAAAAGGAATTTAGCTTTCTATAAACCTGCAATCGAATTGATTGCGAACCGAAAGCGACAGGCCAAGTCGCGAACGTTATAAAATATAGGAAGAGCACGGTTGAAGGAAAAAAAGAAGTGGGATATTAAAGGGTTGGGTGCATTGGACTGAGAAATAAATTATGAAATACGGGGCAGCGGAGCAATGAAGAAACCGCGTGGTCGGCCAGATTGGTCGATCATGGTGCTACGAAAGAAGGGGCACCGAGCTCGCAACGATTACTTTCTAAACGTGAACATGTAACCTGCGACCTGCATAGAATGCCTCTCACAATGGGTGAACGTACTAATCTACAGAGATTGGCGTCGTACGCCTACACGTGGTGGGAACGTGAGATTCAGGCACGGAGGGCTTTGAATTAGCGATGACAAGTGTACGGATCGGGGATTCAAATTCCGAGGCGATTTATTAAATATAGAAGAATTCTAAACTGATCGACTCGATTTACTAGAGTTCATCTCATATACGATTGTCCTGAATAGATGGACGCTTAGATTGAATATCGTGAAAGTGTTGAGCTGATTTCACAGGATTCTGCTGGAACAATAATGCTAAATTACTTACTTTCTTCGATTCAATGGTTTTAACGAACCGTAAAATTCAATGGGTATATATTAAATGTAAATACTTGTACATATATTAAACCGCGTTCAGTTTCTTGTTACGCGCTGCCGTTTTCTCGCGATGCAATGGAATTCAAAATGAGCCTGTTATTACAGGAGAGAAGGTCATACGCGAAAGAATTTAATTGGTAGGTGAATACATATCGTACGTACGTACGACGATAAGAAAGTAGTTTAAATAATACACTAAGTAATATCGTACTCGTTTTATGAGTAATTATCTTACTTTAATATTGGTTACCAGTGTGAAACGTTTGGACCGATAGCTTAATTTCGTGTAGACGTCGGTAAAAGTTAGCGATTCCGAATGGAAAAAGTTACGAACGAAAATGTGGAACGATAGGATCGTAGTTTAATTTAAAAAGTAACAAGAATTACGGTGAAACGAGTGAAAAGATCGTCGCCGATGCACGAAAGGGAAGCGCGAATGGGTGTGGAACCGCGAAAGCTTGTGCGATTCGTTTCCTTGAAGGAAGTTTTCTCAGCTCTCACTATTCTCACATACTGCCGTTCGTGAGAACACGCGACAATGCTTAACGATTCCGTCATCCTTGCTCTGCTCGCCTGTTGCATTTCACTCAACTTCTCATACGTTTTTATTCTAAGAAAATATCTGATCTATCATAAATGTCTACCTCTTCGTCAAGAGATTTCGGATTAAAACTCCGAGCTACGAGACCTGTTCGTTAGGAAATATCTAAACACGTGAATTAAAATGAACATGAAAATGAAAAGTAATCGCGTTACGTGTATTCTAACACACGCGTATGTGCTCTGTTTCAGGTATAGGAGTGGTTCTAGTAACCGTGAGCGCCGTAGCGTGGCGAGTGACCAGCCGAGAAAATTGCGGCAGTTTTTTTGGTTTCACAGGGATCTCAAGCAGGATACCGCCAGCGAGGCCGATTCATCCTTACGCTGCCATGATTTATCCGGAGTTTCAATTTAGAACACCGCCACCGAGCTATCAAGTGAGGCTCGACAAATATTTTCCATCATTTCTCGCGTATTTTTCACAGCTCCTCCGACTATTCGTCTTCGTTTCAATAATTAAATCATCTAATATTTACTCTTCGTTCTTCACTCGCGGAAAATGCGACGATGGAAAATTGGAATGCAATCGGGCTTGATTTTAGGCGAGCATGCAAGAGTACAGGCTGCGACTGCTGCTTCTGGATCGGCTACAGCCGACGTCCTCGCCACCGCCAACTTATAGGTCGAACGCTGGTAGCATTGTGTCTCCCGGCACCGCTAGAGAAAGCAGACCGCCAAGCTATTGCGCCAGATCGGACGTTGCATCAAATGCGAACGTCGCGCCGTCGAAGAAGGACGCGAACTTGGTCAGGATCGTTCAGACCGAATCGGAGCCCGTAATCCTCAGCGGGGACCAAACGCCTCCGATCGCCGCTGTCGAAGTGCTCGCGCATCTCTGACTCATTCCCATCTTCTCTTGTAATTATAGTACTCTTTCTTTAAAGTATTAACACGTCGTGTAAGCGCGTTATACTTCCGTGCAATATACATTAATGTTTTAGAGATCTGTTCATTCCGAAGAAAAGTCAAGATCTTTTCGATTATCATCTTGTATATAACAATGTTAAGATTGTCGTTTCGCATTTTCTTTTTATTCTTTTCCATTTGTACAATACTCGCGTTAATAGACGAGATTACGTGCGTTGCGAATGTTGAGATTAAAACGTATCGACGATGTATATTCTTCATGTGCCGGTATAGAAACTTTTAAGGTCTTCCTCTCGTTCATGCGTGATCCTGTAAAATAGGGGAAATAGGATATTCGAGGAAGTTGTATAGATACGTCGCTACTCTGCGACGGGTTAGACGTTCACGATATGTATTCAACTATCTATTTCGTATTGCTTCAAAAGACGATAACATAGTATATAAAACGCCTTCGTGGCGTTCCATTGAGATTGTTCGATGGTAGTATTAACAATGACGAAATGTCGTTTCTTTCCATCGAATCGTAAGATGGTTTTAACGTATTTTCCAAATTCACTTCGTACGTGTAGTGACATTAACGAAGCGTGTACATATACGTATATGCGCTGAAGCTGCATGAATTTATGCGGATTACCGTGAAACGTAGCTGCAGATAAATGATGCAGCTTTGAAGATAACAGTGTTGTTGCCGCAAGCTTTAACGCCATACGGGGATATTTACTACTCGCTTTATTATTGCGATTTCACGTGCATAGAGAACGTGCCGCGAAAGGTCGGGCAAGAAAGGATCTTGTGGATTACGTACAATATGTGTACACATACATATTTTTGTAGTTATCATTTCGTGGTTGAAAAAAGTATGTATGTATCGCGCGTTACAGTACTGTCGGCTTTTATATACAGTAATAACACAACGTTTTCTAAATTGATGAATCATAGTTCTCGCAACTCGGTGGTGGTTTCTTTCATCGAGGTACGAACGGCTCACTGGATTCCGGACTCGCTTCGCAAATACGCATAAGAAATGTTACACGTTCTCTCTCTCTTTCTCTAATGCTTCCTGTGAGTCGATGAAATTCGTAAATAAGACAATAACTTCGCAGACTTGCAATAAATAATTTAATTCTTTTTAATTCTTTTTTTAGTATTCCTTAGAGGATTTCATAAATAATTTCCAACAGTGTAGCTTATTCTATTTTAAATATTTATACTCGAGCTAAACGCGAACACTGACATTTTTTAAAAATGAATCGTATTCATTTACGAGATACTGTTGTAGTTCATTCAATATGAATGTAACATTAGTCCTGTAGTGTCTACTGAATATTTAACTTGTTTTATAGACCGTACGATTAGCGATTACTGTATGTAGAATGCCGACACAGATCAGTATATTGTATAGAATTGTGTAGGGGTAGTAAATATATACAACTAGAGAGCAAGAATTTCGAAAGGCGGCCTTAACCAAACTCGCAATGATTCGTGATACATGAGAATAGATTAACTAAAAGTCATTATTCGAACGAGTATATTGTTCCTCTATATTATTGTAGAACAATTTGTATATACATAAGAACAAATATATTTATCTGACGTAAATGATCGCGTTTTTTTTTTAAGTCATGTTTCGGGTTACCGCTTCGAAGCTAAGAGGGTTCATTTAGAAATCTTTCCTTGTAGCATCGTTTGTAATTATTAAACTTTAGAATAGAATGAAACCATTTAAAAATCGATTGTAAGTTTCCAAGCCTTAATTTATCGGCTTATGAATTAAAAGCTATAAGTATTTCAAAGAAGACCATGAAACTATTTCGTTTTATATTATTAATCGTCTGTTAATACGAAATTATCGGAGGGGTTGCTGGAATCCTCGAGGGTGAAAGGAGAGCACTGTTGGTTGTTCACAAAAATTTTATTTTCCGCATTACTTCTCGCGTTCCTCTTACAACTTTTGCTACTTGTTTTTTTTTTATACAATTTACAAAAAATTCTTTGTCTTTCATTTAGAATTGGATTCGTAGCATGACGAATCCAACCACGATAAATCTTACATAGGTATAGTAGGTACGGTGATACAAACAAATGAACTGCGACGAGACGAGCCGACCAACAAACACATTCGACGAGAACAAGACTTGCGAGGTCCATCGAACGATGAGAACAATAAGAATGAATCGCTGATAATAATTAATAATAATAATAATAATATATTAATAATATAATAATAATAAGTAACAACTACAGTAACGATA